CCTGCTGTTACACAGTATAAAGACCAATAATCCAGTTTTAGCTGACAATCCCATGAACACCATCACAGACACCTGACCCCCCCGCCCCCCACTCCTCCAGTACTGGTGTTCAGTGAAGATTCTGGTCTCCTTCTCCTCCACAGATCTGTCTGTCCACTTCTGAGGTCTCCAGGGAAGGACAGACGGACACGGCCTCAACCCGCCCCACCACTAACTCTCCGGCCCGCTCCACTTCTCCCTCACACGGCGGTCAGGCTGCGACCACCACGACACATACGGCCACCTCAGCTGCTGCCTCCTTCTTTGCCAGGTACAATCCACATGACCATGACCACGGCGTCCTCTTCCAGCGGACGTGTCTGTGGTTTTGCCAGTGACTGAGCTGACCAACAGCAGTCTGTCAGTCATATGATGTCATGATGAGGAGCTCTTCTCTTCAATTCTGTCTCTTCATTCATGTTTTTCAGAGCTGCTCAGAAGCTAAGCTTAGCTTCAAAGAAAAAGAAGCAGAAAGCTGCTCTGGCCACAGCTCCAGTGGCATCAACACCGTCCTCCTCCAACCCCCCCCTGTTTGCTACAAACTTCAGCTCCGCTCTTGTGCTGACACCCCCGCCAGCTCCGCCCTGCCTTCTCCGTGCAGCCAATAAAATAAAAGACACTCCTGGACTTGGAAAGGTAACGGAACAACACTCTCACCTCTGAACTCTGACCTGCAGCAGTGATAGGTGATGACATCATTTAGTAATTTCTAGCTAACCAATACTGTTCTTCCTTACTGAGAAGTTAGCAACAGTGGTCAAGTACATCACACCCTGAACAGCTGTCCAGTCCACAGGGTTATATCTAGAGACAAAATCATTCACAGTGGTTCCATAGTGTAGAGTGCTTTGCAAGCAGAGAGCCTTGGGTTCGATTCCCAGAGGAACCATAATATACCTAATGGCGCCTTCCGTGTGGCAGCTTGTGTTGGTTGTAAAGACACTGTAAATGTCCCCACTGTGGGAGGATTATTATATTATCATAACATTCACATTAACATTCACACCTACACACTGTATCGACATGGTTTTGGACTGTAGGAGGAAGCTGGAGAACCTGGAGAAAACCGGCGCAGGGAATCTGGTCCCTGTGGCAGATTGGACAGGATGAATGTGTGGGGGTGGAGGGGGAGGGATGAATGAACCACTTCTTGTCTCAGTGTGTGTGTTTGTGTCACACCTGCTGTACTATAGTAAGACTTAGTCTGTTAGTTACCATGGCAACACATTTCAGACTGACCACAGTCATCTGTCACCATGGCTGCTGGTGTGGTGTGATGGAGGTGGAGAAGACAATCCAAATTTAAACTGAAACTCAATCTGAGCATGAACTAATGAGTGACAGTCCCAGTGTAAAGAAGAAACTTGACCCACTGAGCGTAGCATCGATGTTGTCTTCTCTGTTTCATCACTGTCTCTGTCCGTCTGTGGTGATGCTCCTCCTTCACACTCTTTTCCTCCATTTCTGTGTGAAGTAGAATACCCTTTACACTTTAGTTGTATACTTTAGTATTTTTTCTCAAATATTCCTTAGAAAAGTAACGTAAATATTTAGTACTGTCTTACTGCAGTATCCAGTATCTTGAATACATTTCACCTCTCATCCAAGAGGCTTCTTCAGTTCCTCTTGAATGAGAGGTGAAATGTCTCCAAGAAAAAACCTACTCATTTCAGTTTCATAAACCGGGCGTCATCTTTAATCTCACAAGCTTCTGTGAGGGATATAATGGGGTCAAGAAAGGCCGAGATTCAACTGTGTGTGTGTGTGTATTAATGATCTAGTGATATTGAATTTTTTTAACTGACCTCTTGACCTTACACTGACTATTTAAGTATCTCAGATTTCCCAGAGTCAGGAGGCTACAGATTAGCAGCAGCAGGCTACGTTAGGCTTAGGACCATTTGTTATTTTTATCCCTGCCATCAATTGCCCACTGCCCCTTGTGGGTGAGATGTAAGGCATAGACCTGAACATTAACCCCAGCATATTTAGGTCTGCATTATCATTATCACAGTAAAGTCAGACTGACTGACTGTAGGTGTGAAAGTGATTTCTGCTCAGTTAACCAGCAGAAATCACTTTCTAAATCTATCTAGCTTTAGTTTTTTTTATTTTGTTTTATTGTCAAATAATAACTCATTAAAGAATAATTAAATTCCCACTGTAATAAATCTGGTCCACTTTAACTGAGTTTTGTTTTCATCCTGAATAAATATCTTCACAGCTGCAGCAACACCTGGATTGGAGTGTGTGTATTAACAGGAATACACTTTCATAGTATCAGGACTGATGATGTATGATGATGTCATATCAATGACCTGTGAACCTGACCTGAAATCCTCATTTTCACCTCCTCCTCCTCTCCAGGTTAAAGTGATGGTGCGTGTGTGTCCGGTGTCACAGCTGGAGGCAGCAGAGTCCAGCTCTTTCCTCAAAGTTGATCCTAGAAAGAAACAAATTATGATCATGGACCCATCAGCCAATCAAACACAGGCTTCCCAGAAAAGGGCAGGAGCCAATCAGGTGTCTCCAAAGATGTTCACATTTGATGCTGCATTTCCTCCTGATGCTTCACAGGTAGGACAGACAGCCTGGTGTTTCTACAGAGTAATCCAGTGCATTACAGTGAAATAAGGGAGGAGACATATCTACCGTATATATACATATATATATGTGTATGTGTGTGTGGGTGTGTGTGTGTCTGACCATCGACTCATTACGTACCTGTAACCTGTACCTGGAAATTCTTTGTGCCTGTGAACATAGACAGCAGAAGGTTTTACTATTATAATAGCAGCCACCTACAGGCCTCTTCTAATAATGCACCCTCACAGGCAGAGTAATAGTATTTGAATACTGGACTTCTGTACAGTATCAATAATTCATGTGTGGAAGTTTTATAATATATGTAATATAAAGATGAGCACATGATGCTGTGTCAACAACGCTGTCTCTGTCTGCCTGTTGTCAGGTGGAGGTGTGCGCTGGAACTGTTGCTGAAGTCATTCAGTCGGTTGTGAACGGAGCTGATGGCTGTGTCTTCTGCTTCGGACACTCCAAGTTAGGTAATACTCAGACAGAAGCTACAGGACCAGAGCTGAAGTCTGTACGTCTGAACCCAGGTCCACCACCCCCCGGCCCCAC